TCTGTGATGTTATTGATAGTTTCCTTAATTATCTGTGGACAAAGTTAAATAAGTAAAAGCTTTCAAAAAGTAGTGAGAGGTAAATAATAAACGGCCCATTAGCTGATTTGTGGGAACATCACGAGTCTGTTGGGACAATTATTACACTACTAGACGTAGTAAGAATGGCATGCACAAGGCAATGCTATAACATCTCCATTGAGATTAGGTGCAGACTTTGACTAGGCCATTGCAAATCATTTTCCTTTTTGAGCCATCAGTAGGGGCAATTGATGGTGCGCTAGGTTGGTTTTTGTTACTAAATAAAATCAAAATTTTAGAAAAACAGTCTTTGAAAATGTCTGCGCTTGTTATTTATACATTTTGTCTTCTTAGCTTAGTAACTTCAAACACATTTACTTAATTTAACTCAAATTGAAACTGTCCATTTTCTCCTGTTTCCAGTGAACCATTATGTGAAACATCAAATAAAATGCCTACAGATGCAAAAGTCATTGATGAACCTATTTACTTAAATCTGCAGGTATATTTTATCTACAATGATTAGATTTTAAAATCTTCACAGTACTTCAAGGCATATTTAGTAGCTATCTAAAATCAACTTTGATCACATTTTCTCCTTTCATTTTAGACGTCAGCAAATGAGATGGACCAACGAGTGGAAACTGTGGAAAATATTTATGGAAATGTGGACTATACAATTTAGAAAAAAAACATCTGCTTTCATCCTGAAGGGTTGTATTTAGCTTTCAAATGCATATGTGCCATAAGAAGGATCTAAAGTGTCAACTAGATTAAGGATGCACTGGTTTGCAACACATGCATGGAAACTCTGAAGCTTAATAAAAAGGGAACTTAATTCAGCAACGTGACCAATGCAGTCACATTGTATCGGTCACATTGCTAAGAGATTGACCTTTCCACCTTCACTTGACAAAGCTTCAATAATAAAAATAAATAAATAATCCAGAATCTCACACATTTGAAATGAGCTGGCAACATGACGCACTGAGATCGTAATAAATTGTTTTCAATAAGGATTTTCAAGAATCAAGAACTAAAGTCTGCCACCTTCAGGCTCTTTGCTGTCTCTCTGTTAACTAAAAAACAGAAACCTCAGTAATGTTTGTTTTTAAATGGCAATAAAGGTGCTAATTTTACTGTCCAATAATTAGCATTCTGTACATGAAGTTATCTTTATAAAAGATTGTAACCTGATGTAAACTACTGTCAGTCAACATGTTAAAAATGACATTTTTATATATTGCTTATTAAAGGATCAATTTTGAAAATGTAAGCAAATTGTGACGTTTGACATTTTGTAATAGAGCTACAAGAGAAGTATAAATAAATATATACAAGGCAAATTAATGATTTTATATTATTCCTTTTAATTTTAAAGACCTTCAGCTTACAGTTCATGCAAACAAGACATCTGGGTTTAGAATGTTATACTAGACCAATAAAAAAGCAAAAAAATATATAGAAATGTGGGCTTAAAGTTTAATACGCATTTTCAAAATGTGTGTTTCTTTCAATCTGACTAAAAAGTCTCATCTGAACACACACACACATATTTACATGTTAATAATAGTGAACTGTATTCATGAATAAACTCTAGAATTGTAGTTGTGATCAAAATGCAAATACTGTGATGCAGCATTATTTTTTGATTTACATAATAATGTCGACAGTACTTTAAAATCAGGTCTGCTGGCAGGATTTCAGTAACTGCTCTGTTTTAAACAGGACTGCTACTAGTCATCAGTTTGTAATGATTAACTGGTAACCGTGAAATTACAGGGAGATAACAGTTATGCGCTGATCTAATATGCTTCCTCTTACTGCCTTCCTTATTTCTATTACACAATCTTGCAAGTGGAAGCAGCTGAGAATTATCAAATTCTCATCTTGGTTCAGATGCAGCTACCATCCCTGTTTTAGCTCAGTGTCGTGTGGACAGTAACACCACAAGCAGAGCGTGGATCATTTTTATAATTTCAAAGAGTTTAATCAAAAATGCATTTTCTTTTGTTTTGAACACAAAGGCAGGTTGGGCAATTTGTCATAATGTGAGGTTTCCAGGACTTTAAGGCAAACAACAACTACAGACACTCAAACAGTCTTGACAGATTTACTTAACAGTGAAGCGTGTGGAGGGACGTCGATCTGCGACAGCAGGGAGGAATCAGGTCAGCGGAGGAACTGAAAAGAGCGAGCGGTTAAAGAGGGAAGTAATGAGGGGAATGACCGGATCACCTGATGGTGGCTTACGGTCGGTGGGTTGAGGTAGGCAGAGGAAGGCAGAGGAGAGTACATGGGGTTCCAACAGTTGGCGTGGTGTGGTGGTTTCCAGATGGAGGGGTTCCTGCAGGAGACTGAGGGCGGACAGGCAGCAGCTGAGTGGAGGGCGTTATTTACCCAGGTGCAAGGCCCAACGGACCAGCGAGGACCAGATCCTTCAGGTGAGTCTGTCCCAGAGAGTGTTCAGAGCAAAGACTACTTGGGAAGGAGTCAGAACAAGGAGGACACTGGGAATACAGCACTGATAGCTACAGAGTACCACAGTAGAAGCAGAACCATCTGGCATCTGAATCAGGGAAGCTGCTCCTCTTTAAGGACCTTGCAGATTAGCGGTGATGAGTAACAGCTGGATACCATCAGCCTGCTGCCCTGCGAAGGAGAAGAAAACCACTCCCCTGCAGACCCCAACACAGCTAACATCATTCAGAGTATTAAAGTAAAAAAAGGGCTCTAAAATGACCATTTGGTGTACACTCATCGATCCTCAAAGGCAATACACGAAAAGCATTACCTGATATGCTTTATTACTGCCAGCAGCAACAGTAATATGTTGCTGCTGGCAGACGATCTGACGCCTGCATTTGTAGGAAGCATCAAAATATAAAATAGGCCATTGTTATAAGAGTTCTTAGATTTATTTACTTATTTGGATTTATGTTTGTTAGTTTTGTTGGCATAATCACTTGATTAGAAGTAAGGACTACATCATAAATTGGTCTCAGACCCATTCGCAGGAGAAACATACAATAAATATAAATTTTAAAAAATCATTACAACTTAGTCTCACTCGTGATGTTCACATTTTGATTGAAGAAGAAATTTGATTTGGAAAATAATAGTGTGTGCACACTCTTCAATGTGGATGTGGCCAGCATTCAAATGTATATGAATCAGACGTCAGTTTTCTTACAAAAAATATTAGTAAAACTAATTTTATATTTCCTCTATTTTTGTATTTTCTAGTCACTGTGCTGATGTAACCTGATAGACTCAGGTTACATAGAAACCTGCAGATTCTATTTAAGTATTTTTCAGTTATTGCTACAGTAAAAGTAAGAAACATGAGAATCTTTCACTTGGACTGTTTGTTCATTTTCTGCATTTAGAGTTTGAATGTTACAACTTCTGAGTCAAAATGAAGCATATGAGGAATCTACTGCTTGCAGCCAATCATAAAGTGCTACTGCGTTAAAATGTCTCATTTTCAACGTTTGAAAAGTCACAACAAACTGCAAAAGTTCAAGCCCTGCAGCTACTAATGTTTCAAAATGTACATTGTGTACTTGTTATAATAATTTAGATAGGCGGTAACTTACACTGCATTTTTTTTTCTTTCATTCTGCATTGTTTTGTGAGTATGTTGATGCTTGAAATGGATTATACAATGGTTAAAATAAAACTGCTTGCACCCTTTGGCATTTGCAAAACACTGTTGTTTTAAGCGTAGGCTCAGTCGATAAGTTCTGTGACGTTCGATTTTCTTTTTGCTTGTTTTACCTCACTCTTTAGCTCCCTTAATTCAATTGACTGATTAGCCTTGGGACAGCAAGTGCTGCTTACTATGTTTCCCTGTTCTCACTATTAGGAGGCAGCTATATCAAGCAACTTATTTTGCATATCACCAAGTGAAACAGAACAACTTAAGAATTAAGTTCTGCTTTCTCAAGAATTCTTGCATCTATTCAAAACGACAGGAAGACGTGAAAAGAAGCACAGCCTGAATATGGTAGTCAGCACACCCACGTGTATGTGCGACAGTATAGCTTACTCGCATTCATAACATTTATTGTCTACAATTTCAAGTTCAGTGTTATTGTAGCTGCGCATGAAATGAACAGTAAAAATGTGAATCTGCTGATTCTCTTCTACAACACAACAGTAAAACCGATGTCAATGGCAACACTGAATGTTTAGGAGGAAAGTAGAAGAAAAAAACTATTAGCAACACTCGCACACTCTGAGGTGTGCTTTAATTTTGTCATCAATAACTATAAAACAGCAAAGCTCTTCTTGCATGAATGTTGCTTACATCTTGTAAACAGGGAAGGAGGTAAAAAGCAAACAGACCAGAGGTAATACAGGCAATAAAGGTTCAAGCAAATATAGATTAAATATATATATATAGATGCACAAACTGATGCATAAGGTAATTTTCAGTTGTTGAGGATATAACTTTATTAATCCCCAAAAGGAAATAACAGTTGGCATAGCAGCCTAAGAAATAGAAACAAAATAAAACAATGTATAATCAGGAATATTATTTTGGTGATGTGATGTTGTGGAGCCAGATGGCACGAATGAGCCACCGATCTGCTGAATGAGTCCGTGGCTCTAGGAGCTCCTTTGCTGCCTACGCTCAGAGGGATTGTCCATGAAGGCCTTTAACATCCCGCTCACCCTTTGCTTGGTCACTCCCTTCACACTGCCCATTTCTGGTGGCATTCCTTTCCAGCTTACTTAGCTTCTTGATGATGTGTGACCCATTGCCCCCTCCCTAGCACACCAGAACACACAAAAAAAATCCTTCTTAAAATGGGTGTGGGCCTTCTGCTCAAATTGTATTAAGCTGGAGGTGATAACTCTCACATCATCCAGTGAAGCCCTCAATCAAGTCCCTGTCTTCCTCCTCCCTGTCATCTGTAGTGCAGCCAAAAATACAGGGGCCATCTGACAACTTCTGTAGGTTGTTTGTTCCAGAGCTGAAGCGAAAGTCAGAGATGGAGAGTGTAAAAAGAAACTGTTGTAATACACTTCCCTGGGGTGTGCCCTTGTTGTTCACCACAACATCAGAGAGAGAGAGAGACGTGCAGCCTGACACACTGCGGCCTGTTAGTGAGGTAATCAGTAATCCAGGCCCGCTGGTCTCATAGAGAGGATGGTATAAGAAACAGAAAAGCATCATCCTCACTGTGATGTGTGGTTTATCTGGGTGGCATAAGCTCTGTGAAGTATCATCTTCAAGTCGGACTACACAGGATCCAGGCAGTCACTCATCACAGGCCTGAAGTGCTGCAGTCCCTCCACTGTCTGCATTTGATGATAGTGCCACAGGCCTGAAGTTGGAAAGGTTTCTGTCCCTTTTATGGGACAGAAACATCCCAGAACGTCTCCCAAATCTCCAGCACCTTCTTCAGCTTCAATGGCTGGTCAAAGAGATGTTGTAACGCTGTTGTCAAACACTCAGCTCACACCTGGAGGACCCTTGGATGGATGTCATCCGGTCCGGATTCTGGTCAGCTGTCACCTTACCTGACTGGTTGATCAACAGAAATTAGTGGGGCTTTTTCAAGAAGTATGTCTTTTTTTATGGTAACATGTCTCAGCCTGTTTCCCAGAAAATATGAACAACATAAAGTTTGTGAGATAATTTGAACTAAATTGAGGGTGATAAGATTCTACTGAAGTTAATAAAAGAGTATGAACCCAATTGTATCAATTCAGGCTTTTCTTCAAGGTCCACAGTCTGTTTCCCGTGAGTACACTGTGCACACGCACACCCCCACACACACGGCTGTGTGTGGGTGTGTGCGTGTGTGTGGGTGTGTGCGTGTGCTCACACACACATATTAAATGCACCCACACTGTTGGACAGATTGTGCGGAAAATTGTTTCATTTTGTAATCTCCTGTGTGTGTCACATAGTGAACCTAACAGTCAGGGTTGAACAACATCATCATTAAATGAATACACACAAGAAATACACCACATCTAAAATATTCTGATTTTTGCTGCTACTTTTGTGGCCAGGGTTTAATGTAAATACATAATGTGTGTGTTAGTGTGTGTAGAAAGAACTGGTCAGCAAATATATTGCAAGACTGGCCAATAAATGCTTATATTTTCCTCCCTACTAGTTAATGAGAAGGGTGTAGGTTATTTTTTTTTTCTTAAACTATTATTTTTTCTTACCATGTCAATAAAGAAAATGACTTTATACTATGAAAAAATATAATTATTCCACATTGCTGTTACTCCTTGAGAGATGCCTAGCTCATTGGTTCTCAGAAACAAAATTGGTTAAATGAAATTGCCTCGAACCCAGCCTGCCAGTTTTGTGAGTGAAATTAGTTTGAGGCTTAATTTTTTTTAAGTGAAAAAAGTGTTTGTCCTCACCACGATGCTCTTTCCTGCAAAATTCCATTTCCAGATTATGATTTACTGGAAAATGAAGAAGCGTAAAAATGTAACACATGGTAGCACTGTAACCAGTGCTTCCAGTTTGTGTTGCAACAGTAAGCCGTTCTTGTGACGTTTCCTTCATTTTGACCAATCACACTCTGTGCAGTACTTTGGTTTAAAAAAATATATAACAGGCCACCAACTAATATCAAACCAGCTGCTATTGAAATCCACATGACAATTATTGTCCAATAATAGATTGACATCAAAATTATAAGTTTGACTTTATGTAAATCCCTCCAACTCATTTAAGTCCACAATACATTTTACCGTTTTATACAGACAAGGTTTGGACTTGGGATTATTTTTCACTCCAAAAAGCAACAAGTAAACATTTGTTATAATCAAAGTACTGGAAACGGTGAAATCCACATAAAAATGCAAAACATGCTGAATCTTCAAAGAAATAGAGTGCAACAAAAAAAGATGAGAGTGGAAAACGACCAAAAGCTCTGATTGATGTTACAAACACCTTGTTGGGTCCAACCAAGAACGAGAAACATGTAAATTATAAAGTGGCCAAATAGTAAATTTTCAAACAAAGAAACCACAATAGTGGTGTGGGTGTCTGTTTAGTAGTTGAAAGCTGTGAGTTTAATGTCAGCTTCCTACTGTGATATATTGATGTGCCCATGGGCAAGGCATGTGTGTGATTGGGCCTGTGTATGAAGTAATTGATATGACTAGAAAAGTACCATATCAATTGAGTCAGTTCATAAAAATGTGACTTTTTTGGCACCATAATTATGAGCTAAATCCTTAACATGTTCAACATGAAGACAATCAGTAAAATTCTATGTTTCATATTGCATTTGAACATTTATCTGGATAACCGCACTGACCAGCAATATTTTCCTACAACGTCTCCCCCTGGGTAATTCATGGGACTTGTCAAGGATTGTTGGGGTCTTTTTTCCCTGAGCACACTGTGCACACACACCCACACACACACAAGGTCAATGCCCTTAGCATTAACCTTGGCTGAGGCTCCATCGTTTTTAATGAGGATCACAAAAGTACAGAAGTCCAGGCAGCACAGGTGAGCAATGAGACAAGGAACTCAGACGCTGGTAGCACTGGAAACACACACAACTGGAACGGGACAAACAACGAACGAGGAAACCACAACAAGGATCCAGTAGGGAAACAGAGACACAGGTGAGTATAAATACACTGAGTGTAATCAGGGGAAACGAGGGACGTCTGAAAATAACCAAAGGTTAGACGATGACACACAGAAAACCACGTCCTCACAGGACTGATGAAAAATACGAATATTCCAAAGATTTGATATGATGTCAAGCATTATTATATTTAATTGCTCCACACCTGATGCTGGGTACACCGCGATGACTTTCAGGAAGTTAAGACCACATTGTTGCAGAGTTTTAGTTGATCTGCTACATTTATTTTTTTCTCCATCTAAAATTTGCTCCTGTAAGATGTAAAAACAACTCTACATAATAATCAGCTTATGACGTGGGGAACGTTTGATTGTAACAATTTCTGACTTCAAGGTCTAAATTTTTGCTTTATAAGCACAAGACTCACCCTCATCACAAAATAGGACAAAATAGGACAGAGACATGATCTTTGGCTTGAAAAGGTTCAAATCTTACAAGATTTAATTTCAGTCAAAGCTTCAAGGTGAGTGGATCATTACTTTGAAGATTAAGAAGAATTCACTAAAGACTTTAATATATTTTTATTAATTTTTATGTTGATTTTTTTTAGACTTCTCGTCAGCTAATAATGGAGCTGAAATTGTGGCTCCCGATTCTGATGGTTTTTGGTAAGCTTCACCTTAAAATGACAATCCATGGAATATCATCGTTCTATCACTGTCTACTTGCTGAAAAATATTTAACGCTTCATTGCAGGGATGGCTGAATCTCTAGGCACGAGCAAGGACTGGTCCATAAAAGTGCCATCAAAAATCCCTGTTCTTCAAGGCTCATGTGTGGTCATTCCCTGTACGTACGTTTACCCCCGAATAGATAGCATGTCGAAGACATGGAAGGGATACTGGAAGAGACGGGGCACAGTTGTTGCATCAAATTTCCCCAATTTGAAACTAACGCGTGAGTTCAAACATCGATCCAGAATTAGAGGAACCCTTCAAAGCGGCAACTGCACCTGGCAGCTGAATCGTGTCAGAACAACCGACACTGGTCCGTTTCACTTCAAAATTGAAATCCCACAACATAAAAGCCACAGTTTCTCAAAAAATAAGGTCACCCTCAATGTCTTCCGTGAGTATATTAGAGACCTTTTCAGTAATTCTACACCATTTACTTTAAGATAGTAAAACATGTTTGAATAACTATTTAACAAGTGATTTTGTGAAAACTGTTTATTGTACAGGAGTTCCTGAGCCGCCCATCATGTCTGTTGCAATCCAACGTAAAGTGACCGCCACCTGCAAAGTTACTCATGTCTGTCCATCATCTCCTCCCAAATTCTCCTGGAGCCACTATGGAAAGATAAAAACGAAGTCAAAAAAGCTGAATAAATGGTTGTGGTCAACAACGTCGACTCTCACCTTTATCCCTCACAAACACGACTACAACAAGCCTTTAAACTGCAGCGTGTTGTTTAAAGGCAATAAGACTACAAAGGGCTCTGTGCTTCTCATCAAGTAGAGTGTCAAGTGAAACTAAATACAGAGTACTAAATTGGAGCAATATTTTTAGAGCTATCTGCCATGATGACAAAGTGATTTTGCAGAAAAAGGCCTGAATTAGTAAAAAAAATGTATAGGGACAAGAAATGCTTATTGTTGCATGCTTTGATTCATATTACCTTTTGAGTTTAACTTTACCTAAATCTTTCAAAAATGTGTTGGAGGCACAAATGTTAGAATTCTTTTTTTTTTTTTTACCTTTGATGATTTTCTAATAGGTTTTATGGATTAATTTTGTTTAGCTGTTTTCTTTTACTCTTCATAAACTGCAAGATCATACACTGACTATTAAATATACATCATAGTCCAAAGTCTACAAGTTTCCTTGTTTCTTTGTATTAAAGCTTTCATCAAAGTGCTAAGATTATGACATTTTTGTGTTTTTTCTCTCTTAACTTTTGTCTCAATTATCTGGAATGTGTGAAATAGGAAACTGTTGTGGCAGCAGCCTCCCATTTGTGGTGAATGGAGAACATGGGGTATTTAATTTAGCACTTCAAATGGGCCACCAAGAACCTTCATCATCAGAAGAACTGCACAAATAGCAACTAAAGTAATAGTATTATTCTCTTTAAATCTACATTGCATGGTTCATTGGGTAACTTTTACTGTTCCTCACGAAGAAAATGTGGATAAAATATATATGGGAACATTAACTTTTTTCTATTAACCATATTATGATAGTTTTTCTCTTTCAAAGGTTGAGAAAATGACTTGATGCACTATATTTAAGTCCATTGTCAACTCCACTGTCAAAAAGAAAAGAAGGGAAGTAAAATAAAAATAAAAATTACTCTGCCCTTATTTTTGGCATTTTCCATGGTTTTGAATCACAGTACACACTAGTCATGCATAGCTCACTATTTGCCATGATTAATGGTTGTAGAGATGTACAAAGTACAAAGTCCAGGCAGCACAGGTGAGCAATGAAGCCAGAAACTCAAAACACTGGAAGCACTGATAAGTAGGAGAATGACACGATTTACGAAAGCAAAGACAGGCATCTGACGGGGAAACACAGTCAGAGGTGGAAATTAAAAATTTTCCCCACCAGCCACAGCAGCTAGTAGAGAAACATTTTTACCGGCCAATCAGTCATGTCACCAGCCACAGGTTTTTTTTTTTCTTTCAATTACAAACCCCACAAGTACAAGCAAATTATCGGAAATGTATGATTTATTCTTAACTCTATGAAAACCAATTTACTGAAAATAAGTTTACCTTACAGATGTACATATACATGTTGTAGTGCAATAAGTTAATTTGAAGTAATTACTATCGGCAAACATTAACTACACCACCCTAACATTCTTGCAATTGTATGATGAACATTTCCACATTTTGGCAACGACCCTCCCTCATAGTATTTATTAAAGATGTGTCCAGTCAGTTTTAATATATTTTTAAATTGGATCAATAGTTGTTTTCTAACAGTTTTATTTGCTTTTCTGAATGGGGTTTTGTGCTTTTTAGCTTTTCTCATAGTTTTTCTGACCTGCCCCGTCTCCTATCGGTTCATTTGCTTGGACTCCGGTTAGCTGGAATGGCATTAATTATCAAACTTAGAGGGGAGGGGCGGTTTCATTGGATAAGCCCAATGAAAGCAACCAATGGGCTGTCGCGGTTGACAAATTTTTTTTTGTTAAATTATGACAGTGTAGGCCCGCTAGATATGGAGTAATGATCCACTCACCTTGAAGCTTTGACTGAAATTAAATCTTGTAAGATTTGAACCTTTTCAAGCCAAAGATCATGTCTCTGTCCTATTTTGTCCTATTTTGTGATGAGGGTGAGTCTTGTGCTTATAAGTCAAAAATTTAGACCTTTAAGCCAGAAATTGTAACAATCAAACGTTGCCCACATCATAAGCTGATTATTATATAACTCTTTTTGTACATTTTACTGGGAACAAATTTTAGATGGAGAAAAAAATAAATGTAGCAGATCAACTAAAACTCTGCAACAATGTGGTCTTAACTTCCTGAAAGTCATCGCGGTGTACCCAGCATCAGATGTGGAGCAATTAAATATAATAATGCTTGACATCATATCAAATCTTTGGAATATTCGTATTTTTCATCAGTCCTGTGAGGACGTGGTTTTCTGTGTGTTATCGTCTAACCTTTGGTTATTTTCAGATGTCCCCCATTGCAACAGACACAAAGAAAGGAGTCATCTGTAATCATAACTTAAAATGTTCACATATTTACTTCTGCTAGAGTATTTTACAACAAAAGCTGATTTATGCTACACATATACAAAATAAAGCATTTTTAATTTGCCTCTATGTCAAAAGTTCCTCCAGCAATAGGTTTGATGCTTCTTGTAAGAAAATAATTGAAGAAAGACGCCTGAGCCTCTGCAAAATGATGAGGGTGAAGACGTCTCATCTTGATTTGACAACAATCTCCCCTGGAAAATATTTCTCCCACACGGCTGTTGTCTGCTTCACATTACTTCTTGCTTTATGAGTCGAACATTTAACATTGTCAATAAAGAATTTATCAATAAAGTATGCTGTTTGATTCAGCTGATATGGACGGCAATGCCAAATGCAAAAACGAGTTTGAAACTTTTCAGTTTTCTTTTTGAGTAACAGATGTTGACGTTTTGAAAAATTTCACTGAGCTTCGTAGCAACTTCCCTTTCTGAGTTAATTCTGAACACACTTATATGCACAACTGTGGGTTTTTCCACACTTGACCAAAAGTGCATGCCCATCAACAACCACACTTTCTTCGTTTATTATTGAACAGTCATATTGTTTGACTTATCTGCACTTAAGAAGCTTGCAGGTCAACAACTACAGGATCATCATTTGATCCTTTTAAACTACTTTGTTAGAATAGTTTTACTTTTAAACACGTTAAACAGATATCACAATCTTACAACCAAAAGAGGAAATTCTAAAGATAGCAACACTCCCACAGTATGTTGAAACTAGATAAGTCCTACCACTTGAATAATAATAAAAAATACACTTAGGTACATTTTTATAACAGTTTAATAGCCATTATTGATACATGCATTTACAAGACTTATTTGGAAATGTTATAGCTGCAAGCAAAAGTGCCTTATGAGGCACTCTAATGTTTGGATTATGTGTAACCCAAATATATACAGAATTAATTTCCTTTATTTAACCTGGTTAACACAGTTGAGATGTAGATTACATTCGCACAACGGATCTGCACAGAACATCTGCAACACACATCTAAATAGTTACACAGAACAAACTTAAAATATAATTAGACCATTAATTACACACCAGAATATTAATATTTTTCGTCAAGCTGGTAAACAGGCTGCAGCTTTTCCTTTATTTGTTAGACATTGGCATATATTTGATCATCCCAGTCAGTCTGAAAAACAAATACAACATAAAATTATTGTATTTGCTTGTGAATTTGAGAAAAATTATTACCCCAACATTTCCATACATATCTCCATTCATATAAAAACTAGAAGAATGTGGATCATCACAAATCTTGTACCTCGGTAGACAATTCAGATGTTTGAAAATAATTATAAGTAAGATGAGAAGTTTGCTTGGTGAGTGATGAGGATTTTTTTAGGCCTTCTCTTTGGGTTCCTGACGTCTTTGTGTCGTCATGGCAAACGTCTAATCCTGAAGTGTCTCTAGGTTTCCCCCTGCTGGCCAAATAAAGGTATGATTTTAAAATTATAGTTATACTTTTAAAATATTTAGACATGACTGTGTACATAGAATCCTCTTAATGCTATTGTCTCCTTAAGGTTAACTTGGGTCAGAAAAAAGATTATAAACTGTTGTTTAAATCCATTTAGGCTCTACAGGCTTTTCCTTAATGATAATCGAGGACATCTCCTATTTCAAAAATAGTAGCCAAATTAAAACCCTTCAACATTTTTTCTGAATTGTCAACAGGCAGACTATCATCCAATCAATACCCAAATATTTAGAGGATCATACTTTATAATAAAACATTGAGCTGGACAGGCCGTGAAACATTTTTTCCCTCGTCGTTGATAGCGGCACAATATATTGCTCCTATTGTTCTAGAAACTTTTGACACTATGTAGAGGTTTCCCTGACAGAACTCATAGCGGCTGACAGGAAGGTGAGCCTCACTGGAGCAAATGAGATCCACAGATTCTCCCTCCTTTATGTCGACCTTGGACTCAACGGTGCATCTGCATGAATATAAAAACCCTTGCCATAGTAGATGTATCATTTGTGACGGCGTCTGGTACAACAGTGTCATAAAAAAGTAAACTCACAGAAATTGTTCTCCTCATTTGGTAGTTCAACTTACAGACAGTGTAGAGGCAAACAGCATTTTAAAAACATGTCATGATAATATGGTAATATAGCATCACGAAACAAAATTACAATCAATCAATGAAAGTTGGTTCATGTTGCCTTTCTTAGCTCACAATGTTTCGGTGGTGAACTAGAACATTAAATCTGGCTGAATGAATTTGAACTAGTTCTTGTTTAGGATGAACTGGCAATACATTGGCATGCATTTATTGATAAATTATGTACAAAACAGTAAATTCTTAAAAACCATCATGCAGCAAAATGCAACTTTGCAACACCATCTCTTCATGTTAAGGCTCTAGCCGTAACATGTTTAAGGAAAAGCAATAAAAATATATATTCCTTTTTGCATTTTAACATATGGGACTGAGAAAAAATATCAACATTCCAAAGATTTGATCTGATGTCAAGCATACCTATATTTAATTGCTCCACTCCTGATTCTGGGTACACTGCGCTGACTTTCAGGAAGACGTCAAGAAGGATACTTTTACTCATTTTACACCATAACCGTTTTATTCAAACACAACATTGTTGCAGACTTTATTTAATGAATGTGCTACATTTATTATTTTTTTTCTCCATCTAAAATATTTTTTCTGGAAAAGGCACACTAAAAGTAACATAATAATCAGCTTATGATGTGGGGAAAGTTTGATCGTAACAATTTCTGGCTTCAAGGTCTAAATTTTTGCTTTATAAGCACAAGACTCACCCTCACCACACATTTGGACAGAGGCATGACCTTTGGCTTCGAAACGTTGAAATCTTACAAGATTTAATTTCAGTCAAAGAAACTTCAAGGTGAGTGGATCATCATTAAGAATAATTCACTAAAGACTTTTATGTTTTTATTAATCTTTATGTTGATTTTTTTAGACTTCTCGTCAGCTAATAATGGAGCTGAAATTGTGGCTTCCGATTCTGATAGTTTTTGGTAAGCTTCGGCTTAAAATGGCAATTCATGGAATATCATCGTTCTATCACTGTCTACTTGCTGAAAAATATTTTGTGCTTCATTGCAGGGATGGCTGAATCTCTAGGCACGAGCAAGGACTGGACCATAAAAGTGCCATCAAAAATCCCTGTTCTTCAAGGCTCATGTGTGGACATTCCCTGCAGATACAAGTATCCTAAGACGAAAAAAATATTGAACAGGTGGCGGGGATTCTGGAAGAGAGGGAACACGCTTGTTGCATCAAGTTTCCCCAGTTTGAAGCTAACGGATGAGTTCCACAAGCGAACCAGAATGTCAGGTTACCTTCAAAGCGGCAACTGCAGCTGGCAGCTGTTTGGCGTCAGAAAATCTGACACTGGACCGTTTCACTTCAGAATCGAACATCCAGATCATACAATCTACAGTTTCTCAAAAAATAAGGTCACCCTCAATGTCTTCCGTGAGTATATTAGAGACCTTTTCAGTAATTCTACTCCATTTGCTTTAAGATATTAAAACATGTTTGAATAACTATTTAACAAGTGATTTTGTGAAAACTGTCGATTGTACAGGAGTTCCTGCGCCTCCCGTCATGACTGTTGCAGTCCAAGATAAAGTGACCGCCACCTGCACAGTTACTCATGTCTGTCCATCATCTCCTCCCAAATTCTCCTGGAACCACTATGGCAAAAGGGAAACAAAGTCAAAAATACAAGCAAATAAATGGTTGTGGAAAACAACGTCGACTCTCACCTTTACCCCTGAAGAATCCGACTTCAACAAGCCTATAATCTGTACGGTGACATTCTTCGGCAGGAAGACGACAAAGGGCTCTGTGATTCCCGTCAAGAAGAAGAGTAACTAAATATGGAGTAAATATTTAATTAAATTAGAGCAATCTTTTTAGAGCTATCTGCCATGATGACAAAGTGATTTTACAGAAAAGTTCAGAATTAGTAAAACTACAAAAAAAATACAAAAACAAAAAAAAACATTTAGAGAGACAAGACATGATTATTGTTGCATGCTTTGATTCATATTACCTTTTGAGTTTAACTTTACATAAATCTTTAAAAACATATTGGAGGGAAAAAAAGTTAATATTAATTTTTTTAACCTTTGATGATTTTCTAATAGGTTTTATGAATTAATTTTGTTAATTCTTTTCTTTTATTCTTCATAAACTGCAAGATCATGACTATTAAATATACATCATACTCCAAAGTCTACAAGTTTCCTTGTTCCTTTGTATTAAAGCTTTCATCAAAATGCTAAGATTGTAACATTTTTGTGTTTTTTCTCTCTTAACTTTTGTCTCAATTATCTGGAATGTGTGAAATAGGAAACTGTTGTGGCAGCAGCCTCCCATTTGTGGTGAATGGAGAACATGGGGTATTTAATTTAGCACTTCAAATGGGCCACCAAGAACCTTCATCATCAGAAGAACTGCACAAAAAGCAACTAAAGTAATAGTATTATTCACTTTAAATCTACATTGCATGGTTCATTGGGTAACTTTTACTGTTCCTCACGAAGAAAATGTGGATAAAATATGTATGGGAACATGAACTTTTTTCTATTAACCGTATTATGATAGTTTTTTCTCTTTCAAATGTTGAGATAACGACTTCATTCATATAAAAACTAGAAGAATGTGGATCATCACAAATCTTGTACCTCGGTAGACAATTCAGATGTTTGAAAATAATTATAAGTACGATGAGAAGTTTGCTTGTGTGAGTGATGAGGATTTTTTTAGGCCTTCTCTTTGGGTTCCTGACGTCTTTGTGTCGTCATGGCAAACGTCTAATCCTGAAGTGTCTCTAGGTTTCCCCCTGCTGGCCAAATAAAGGTATGATTTTAAAATTATAGTTATACTTTTAAAATATTTAGACATGACTGTGTACATAGAATCCTCTTAATGTTATTGTCTCCTTAAGGTTAACTTGGGTCAGAAAAAAGATTATAAACTGTTGTTTAAATCCATTTAGGCTCTACAGGCTTTTCCTTAATGATAATCGAGGACATCCTATTTCAAAAATAGTAGCCAAATTAAAACCCTTCAACATTTTTTTTGAATTGTCAACAGGCAGACTATCATCCAATAAATACCCAAATATTTAGAGGATCATACTTTATAATAAAACATTGAGCTGGACAGGCCGTGAAACATTTTTTCCCTCGTCGTTGATAGCGGCACAATATATTGCTCCTATTGTTCTAGAAACTTTTGACACTATGTAGAGGTTTCCCTGACAGAACTCATAGCGGCTGACAGGAAGGTGAGCCTCACTGGAGCAAATGAGATCCACAGATTCTCCCTCCTTTATGTCGACCTTGGACTCAACGGTGCATCTGCATGAATATATAAAAACCCTTGCCATAGTAGATGTATCATTTGTGACGGCGTCTGGTACAACAGTGTCATAAAAAAGTAAACTCACAGAAATTGTTCTCCTCATTTGGTAGTTCAACTTACAGACAGTGTAGAGGCAAACAGCATTTTAAAAACATGTCATGATAATATGGTAATATAGCATCACGAAACAAAATTACAATCAATCAATGAAAGTTGGTTCATGTTGCCTTTCTTAGCTCACAATGTTTCGGTGGTGAACTAGAACATTAAATCTGGCTGAATGAATTTGAACTAGTTCTTGTTTAGGATGAACTGGCAATACATTGGCATGCATTTATTGATAAATTATGTACAAAACAGTAAATTCTTAAAACCATCATGCAGCAAAATGCAACTTTGCAACACCATCTCTTCATGTTAAGGCTCTAGCCGTAACATGTTTAAGGAAAAGCAATAAAAATATATATTCCTTTTTGCATTTTAACATATGGGACTGAGAAAAAATATCAACATTCCAAAGATTTGATCTGATGTCAAGCATACCTATATTTAATTGCTCCACTCCTGATTCTGGGTACACTGCGCTGACTTTCAGGAAGACGTCAAGAAGGATACTTTTACTCATTTTACACCATAACCGTTTTATTCAAACACAACATTGTTGCAGACTTTATTTAATGAATGTGCTACATTTATTTATTTTTTTCTCCATCTAAAATATTTTTTCTGGAAAAGGCACATTAAAAGTAACATAATAATCAGCTTATGATGTGGGGAAAGTTTGATTGTAACAATTTCTGGCTTCAAGGTCTAAACTTTTGCTTTATAAGCACAAGACTCACCCTCACCACACATTTGGACAGAGGCATAGTCTTTGGCTTTGATACGTTGAAATCTTACAAGATTTAATTTCAGTCAAAGAAACTTCAAGGTGAGTGGATCATCATTAAGAATAATTCACTAAAGACTTTTATGTTTTTATTAATCTTTATGTTGATTTTTTTAGACTTCTCGTCAGCTAATAATGGAGCTGAAATTGTGGCTTCCGATTCTGATAGTTTTTGGTAAGCTTCGGCTTAAAATGGCAATTCATGGAATATCATCGTTCTATCACTGTCTACTTGCTGAAAAATATTTAACGCTTCATTGCAGGGATGGCTGAATCTCTAGGCACGAGCAAGGACTGGTCCATAAAAGTGCCATCAAAAATCCCTGTTCTTCAAGGCTCATGTGTGGACATTCCCTGCAGATACAAGTATCCTAAGACGAAAAAAATATTGAACAGGTGGCGGGGATTCTGGAAGAGAGGGAACACGCTTGTTGCATCAAGTTTCCCCAGTTTGAAGCTAACGGATGAGTTCCACAAGCGAACCAGAATGTCAGGTTACCTTCAAAGCGGCAACTGCAGCTGGCAGCTGTTTGGCGTCAGAACAACCGACACTGGTCCGTTTCACTTCAGAATCGAACTTCCACAACATAAAAGCAACAGTTTCTTAAAAAATATGGTCACCCTCAATGTCTTCCGTGAGTTTATTAGAGACCTTTTCAGTAATTCTACACCATTTACTTTAAGATATTAAAACATGTTTGAATAACTATTTAACAAGTGATTTTGTGAAAACTGTCGATTGTACAGGAGTTCCTGCGCCTCCCGTCATGACTGTTGCAGTCCAAGATAAAGTGACTGCCACCTGCACAGTTACTCATGTCTGTCCATCATCTCCTCCCAAATTCTCCTGGAACCACTATGGCAAAAGGGAAACAAAGTCAAAAAAACCAGCAAATAAATGGTTGTGGAAAACAACGTCGACTCTCACCTTTACCCCTGAAGAATCCGACTTCAACAAGCCTATAATCTGTACGGTGACATTCTTCGGCAGGAAGACGACAAAGGGCTCTGTGATTCCCGTCAAGAAGAAGAGTAACTAAATATGGAGTAAATATTTAATTAAATTAGAGCAATCTTTTTAGAGCTATCTGCCATGATGACAAAGTGATTTTACAGAAAAGTTCAGAATTAGTAAAACTACAAAAAAAATACAAAAACAAAAAAAAAACATTTAGAGACAAGACATGATTATTGTTGCATGCTTTGATTCATATTACCTTTTGAGTTTAACTTTACATAAATCTTTAAAAAAGTTAATATTAATTTTTTTAACCTTTGATGATTTTCTAATAGGTTTTATGAATTAATTTTGTTAATACTTTTCTTTTACTCTTCATAAACTGCAAGATCATACACTGTCTATTAAATATACATCATACTCCAAAGTCTACAAGTTTCCTTGTTCCTTTGTATTAAAGCTTTCATCAAAGTGCTAAGATTGTAACATTTTTTTGTTTTTTATCTCTTAACTTTTGTTTCAATTATCTGGAATGTGTGAAATAGGAAACTGCTGTGGCTGCAGCCTCCCATTTGTGGTGAATGGAGAACATGGGGTATTTAATTTAGCACTTCAAATAGTACTTTAAATCTACATTGCATGATTCATTGAGTAAATTTCACTGCCAACTAAATATTTTTACAAGACGGAGAATCCCTCACGAAAAAAATGTGAATAAAATATATACGGGAACAAACTTTTTTCTATTAACCGTAATATGATAGTCTTTCAAAGGTTGAGATAAAGCCCTGATGCATTATATTTAAGTAGTCTGTCAACTCCACTGACGAAAAGAAAAAAGGGGAAGTAAAATAAAAATTACGTTGCCATTATTTTCTTTGTTTTCCATGCTTTTGTATCACACAACATATTACATAGTTATGCATGGCTAATTTCTACATGGTGATCTTCATTCTTTGCATGCTTTGTTTCTGTTGCACTGGGGTAACAAAGCATGCTTCGGTGCTCCGGCAGCAGCACCAGATGAAAAGGGATTTACAGAAACCAAGACACACTTCATGTTTCATTTTAAGCACAGTCTCGTATCATCATGCTGCCATATAGGCATAATTGCGCTAATTTAGAAAAACACCAGGCAAAAACTTAATTTATCCTCTACTTCAATGTCAATTGTTTATTGTTGTAGGATGAGGACAACACTGGGGGAATCGATTTACAGCACAGGAGTTGTTTGATTAACAGCGGCATAGAGTGGCCTCTATGTCAAAAGTTCCTCCAGCAATAAGTTTGATTCTGCTTGTAAGAAAATAATTGAAGAAAGACGCCTGAGCCTCTGCAAAATGATGAGGGTGAAGACGTCTCATCTTGATTTGACAACAATCTCCCCTGGAAAATATTTCTCCCACGCGGCTGTTGTCTGCTTCACATTACTTCTTGCTTTATGAGTCGAACATTTAACATTGTCAATAAAGAATTTATCAATAAAGTATGCTGTTTGATTCAGCTGATATGGACGGCAATGCCAAATGCAAAAACGAGTTTGAAACTTTTCAGTTTTCTTTTTGAGTAACAGATGTTGACGTTTTGAAAAATTTCACTGAGCTTCGTAGCAACTTCCCTTTCTGAGTTAATTCTGAACACACTTATATGCACAACTGTGGGTTTTTCCACACTTGACCAAAAGTGCATGCCCATCAACAACCACACTTTCTTCGTTTATTATTGAACAGTCATATTGTTTGACTTATCTGCACTTAAGAAGCTTGCAGGTCAACAACTACAGGATCATCATTTGATCCTTTTAAACTACTTTGTTAGAATAGTTTTACTTTTAAACACGTTAAACAGATATCACAATCTTACAACCAAAAGAGGAAATTCTAAAGATAGCAACACTCCCACAGTATGTTGAAACTAGATAAGTCCTACCACTTGAATAATAATAAAAAATACACTTAGGTACATTTTTATAACAGTTTAATAGCCATTATTGATACATGCATTTACAAGACTTATTTGGAAATGTTATAGCTGCAAGCAAAAGTGCCTTATGAGGCACTCTAATGTTTGGATTATGTGTAACCCAAATATATACAGAATTAATTTCCTTTATTTAACCTGGTTAACACAGTTGAGATGTAGATTACATTTGCACAACGGATCTGCACAGAACATCTGCAACACACATCAAAATAGTTACACAGAACAAACTTAAAATATAATTAGACCATTAATTACACACCAGAATATTAATATTTTTCATCAAGCTGGTAAACAGGCTGCAGCTTTTCCTTTATTTGTTAGACATTGGCATATATTTGATCATCCCAGTCAATCTGAAAAACAAATACAACATAAAATTATTGTATTTCCTCATGAATTTGTAAAATTAAGTGGAGAAAAATACATACTCCAACATTTCCATACATATCTTCATTCATATAAATATCAGAAGTATATGGATCATCACAAATCTTGTTCCTGGGAATACAAATCAGATGTTTTGAAAATAATTATGAGTAAGATGAAATGTTTGTTTAATTCAGTCTTTGCTGAGTGATAACCTTTTTGAGGCCTTCTCTGGTGCTTCCTGAGGCCTTTCTGTCATCATGGCACTCATGTTTAATCCTGAAGTGTCTCTAGGTTTCCCCCTGCTGGTAAGATAAAAGTCATTTTCTCAGAGGTTGAGTCTGCTGTGCATAACTTTGTTCGTAGAATCTTTTCTCAAACAAGCCGAGGAACTCTTAACCCATTAAACAAGCAGTCATGGACCATCCATCCATCCATCCATCCATCCATCCATCCATCCATCCATCCATCCATCCATCCATCCATCCATCCATCCATCCATCCATCCATCCATCCATCCATCCATCCATCTATCCATCCATCCATCCATCCATCCATCCATCCATCCATCCATCCATCCATCCATCCATCTATCCATCCATCCATCCATCCATCCATCCATCCATCCATCCATCCATCCATCCATTCATCCATCCATCCATCCATCCATCCATCCATCCATCCATCCATCCATCCATCCATCCATCCATCCATCCATCCATCCATCCATCCATCCATCCATTCAGCTTTTTTCGCTTATCTGGGGCCTAAAAAGGGAGGCCCAGACTTCCCTCTCCCCAGCCACTTGTTCCAGCTCCATTTTTGTTTTTTTGGGTTTTTTGCCTTTTAAACGGATTTAGGCTAAATCCATTCAGCCTAAATCCTAAATAGATTGAGGCTATACAGGCTTTTCCTGAATGATAATCTAGGACACTCAGGTCCCAGGTCCTTTTTCAAAAATAGTGGCCAAATTAAAACCCTTCAACTTTTCAACCTTATCGATCAATACCCAGATCTTTGCAGGATGATACTTTATTAATAAGGCCTTCTCCAAAGCTGAAATACCAATATCATCCAAGATTTAGGTTTAGTTCTAGAAAACAGCATGATTTGCTTTCTTCATGGCAATAATTGATGTATCATGTTATCAACATAAAAATGCACTTTAGCTGTGTACACATTCTTTCAAGTGCTATTTGGAAAATGCAAAAAATAATAAGGCCAAAAACTGTGCCTTGCAGCACTCTTTTCAAAATTCTGTAAATATTTGACATATTTACATTAAAATGCATATTATTGTATCTGGAAGGTAGATAGAGTGATGTAGATTGTATAATACAAAAAGAAGAAAACTGTTTCTCATGTAACACTGATTGTTTGCAGACTTCTTTACTTTAGCAAACAACATTTATATTTCACTCACCATTTCTTACAAACTCCCACTACAAGTATAACCAACAGCAAGAATCCTGCTGCTCCACTGGCAATGAAAATGTAAAGCGTCATCTCTGTAAAGACAGAAATCAAACAATGAATGCTTAATTTATTCACCATGTCTTGAAATCTGATATCATGTCATACCGTCATGAGGTATAGAGAGTGTTTGCATGGCTTCCCCTTCAATGTTAGATGCCAAACACTGCACAAATTTGAAAGGCTCAATGTCTTTCCAAAGAATCTTTATGGTATAGAAACCATTTTTATCTCTTGTCGTTCCAGGCTGAATTTTGTCAGAAAGCTTAAATGTGACGGTGCTGGCAGGATTGGAGTCCACAATACACTCGCACTTCACCCAGTTGCCTTCTGCTGAGCATGACGACTCAGTCTTTATCTCAGGAGCATCTGTAAAAGGCCAAAAAAAATCCCAGAATGCATTTGGAATCAGCTATGAATTCATATTCATTCAATATTATGTCGCAATGTGTGTTATTTGTTTACTCACATAAAACATTGAGCTGGACAGGCCGTGAAACATTTTTTCCCTCGTCGTTCATAGCGACACAATACATTGCTCCAATGGTTCTAGAAACATTTGACACTATGTAGAGGTTTCCCTGAGAGATCTTTGCTCCAGTTTCATTGTGCCACTCATAGTGGCTGACAGGAGGGTGAGCCTCACTGGAGCAAGTGAGATCCACAGTTTCTCCCTCCTTTACGTCGACCTTGTACTCAACGTTCACATTCAACGGTGCATCTGCACGAATACAGAAAAACAGCTATGTATTCTTGCCATATCAACTGTATCGTTTATGGCGGCATGTGGTACAATAGTGTCGTGAAAAAGTAAATCTACAGAAATGGCACTCTTCATTTGGTAGTTCAGTTTGCAGACAATGTAGAGGCAAACAGCATCTTAGAAACATGCCATGATAATATGACAATCATAGTGTCACGATCTTTGCAAAACTGTTTTATTTGTCATCATTTAAACAAAATTACAAAGAATCACTGAAAGTTGGCTTTCTTCGCTCGCAATGTTTAAGTGGAGAACCAGAACATTAACTCATTTGTTTTAACCTAGCTGATTTAAATTTGTTGGATGAACTTTCATCCAACTAGCCAGTTGACTAGTTTATTGACAAACTAGCCAACTGGGCTTTTACCGGTTGGTAAAAAACCAACATTGACATGATAAACATTTACTGGTAAAAAATTTGCAAAACTGTGAATTCTTAGAACTACCATGCAGTAAAATGCAACTTTGCCACATATATTGTGTTCTGTACATTTCACTTCTCTTTTAAAAGGCTTTTTCATCCAAAAACATTTTTTGTGACTTGAAGAACAAAGTAATTTGGTTTTAAATCCAAAATGTATTCATGAAAAAAATCATTCTTATCGACACTTACATTTTACTTGAAGAATCTTGGATTTCTTCTGACTTTTTCCCCCTTGAGGGTTACAGTGCACTGTAAAGGCTTGTTGTGGTCAATATGAGTCGGCCGAAAGCTCAGAATAGAAGTTGTGTTCCACTCTGCATTGCCAAGCTGTTGGGACTGATGAATCTCCTCTCCGAGGTGACTCCACTTGAAATCGGGAGGAGAGGCGGGGCAGGAGTGAGACACAGAGCAGAATGCAGACACATTTTGTCCCTCCCTAATGTCCTCTTCCACTGAGAATTGGAGAGGATTTGGCTCACCTGTGTTAACCAGAGACATCAGAGTAGAGCATTAAAATGATCTATGTACAGAAATCAAAAAGAGAAAATTAAAATGTTTCATCCTGTGTTAATATAGCCTGGTACAAAAACCAGATCCTTGTTCGACACTTTGTTTCTTTCAGACAGGGCTCTTGGCTATTAAGAAACAATTGCTTGCTGGAGCTATAAACTCTGCTGAAGTTTTAACTTTTACCCAATTGTTAATGACAAGGGCAATGAGCCAGTTTGATGTGATGAAGCTTACAGGAAATTGCCTGCACTGTTAACAACCACCCTCCACTGAATGAGGTATCTGTTAATGCTACTGAATGGCTTTGCTCACTTCCTCTGTTACCATTGCTAAAATTACAGACACACTTCTAAAACGGAGCAGAAAATCACTCTCAGCTTCTCCTTCTGTTCGCTGATTAATCGCATAGAAAATAGAGGAATCCAGACGAGAGGGAGAAAACTCACACTGCTGTGAATCAAGATGTGAATAAAGTGAAATATAGGAACTCAATGACCAGGCTAGTGCTCCTGATGAAATAACACCCATTAAGGTTTTACTTGATTTAATGTACAACTAAATATATTTTGTCTCTGATGAACTTTCCCAAATTTAGCAAACAACAAAACAAAGCCTCATTTAAGATGGACATGGAAAGAGAATGATTTCAAATTTAGTTCAAGAGGTCACTGTAGATTAAAGCGTAAGTTCATATTTGTTGCATATATTGCATTAATTCCAGTTTTAATTTGGGGCATTTTGCTCATTTGGTAAATTATAATATGCTTCATGTCATTAAAATGCTTTGGCTTGTTGAGTTTTCAAAAAAGGAGAAACTAATCAGCTGAGTAGTCTAAAATCAAAAAATAGGGTTTTATGTCATAAATTAAATTAACATCAGTAAGTAATGTAAACGGATATGCTTCATATACATAAACAAATATAAAGGATTTTTTTTTTTCATTTCTAATTGTTTACATTAATTTATATTTTTTTAAAATTATTTGCAATTTCTTAATGTTCTGTTTCTTAAACATTTTCTCTAAGCTAAACTAAAGTACAATGGTGCACAAAAATACAAATTTGTAAACTTTTAGATATGGTCAAATTTGACTAAAATTGGTTAAACCCTTCAAATAAGTGCAAAGGTCAAATGTAAAATGTTCTATTTGAACTAACTAGATGCTCATAAATGTCAGACATGACAACAACACTGAAAACAGAAAGAGGAAAATAATGAGCTACTTACTTAAAACTGAAACAGCAATATTATTTTTGTAGCTATAGCTGTTGTATTTCTTAATTTCAATTCTAAAATCAAAAGGTCCCACGTCGTTTTTCTGAAGGGGGTCGATCTTCAGAGAGCAGTTCTTCCCTTCCAGCTTTCCAACAAGCTCAACGCGATTCTGGTACTGCTGTAACATCTTTCCAGAGCCCGAGTGAAAAATTACACCATTTGGATTGGTCCAAATCCCAGTGAATTCATATTTATTTCCTTGATCTGGATAGTTAAAAGAGCATGGGATCACCACACATGAGCCGATGAGCCCTTTGACTGAGGCCGGAGATGTGGATGTCCAGGACGAGGCTTTGCTTTCAGACTCTGTAAGTGGAAGCATTAAAGTATCAAAACAAAGCAATGATTTCATGTAACTTATAAATAACATTCTACTAGAGTAAAGTCCCATGAAAAGACATTTTGGGAAACAACACCAGCAAAATTAGCATCTCATAATTTATAACAATTTATAAATTACACAAAATATACCCGACCTTTCAAATAAATGCATACAAAAAAGGTAATCCATTTGGAGGCACCCATCTTGTCTTCTTAGGTGAATTGCAGTTGAAAGAAATACTTTTGGTATGCAGGCAGAAGCTTCTTCATTCCCGTGACAGATGACTTGTCTAGTTTCCGTTCCACTTTTATCAAAGCTCAAAGCCACTGCGTCACATACATGTGCATGTTTATCATCTGCAAGCATGACCAACAAAAGGACACTACCAGACCTAATCTTAATGACGGCTCAACAACACATTTAAAATTATGAGGAAGATTTCAAACATGTTTAAATTTGACAGTTAAAAAGACAATTCACTGGTTAAATTTCTCATTTCATTTCTCTGCGGTTTGGATGGCAATGCACGCCCCATCCTCATCACTGAACTTCCAGGAGGAGTTGTCATCCTGGATTCATGCAAAGGTACCACTGCTGCACCTGTAACAACATGGTTTTTAACAAAGATGCATGCAGAAGATGAGAGCACAGACTTTTAAATTGTACATTTGGGCAGGAAGTTAAATCAAGAAGATTTCATGGATTGACCATATTTAAAACAGCTTTAAAATATTTTGAAAGCCATTCACAGCATAGATTTCTATGTGATCAGCTCAAGGGATATGGATTAAAAGAAAAACAACATATTTGATTTTGTGGATGTTAAAGAAGCCAAAGAAGAGTTAAAATATTGTTGTGGTAAAGATGTCAGCTTAACTCACCACATAAGACATGACTTTTATTTATAGAACTGTTTCTGAGTAGAACGTGAAGTGGTGTGAACTTCTGCACCACTTTATGCTCTAACAACAGACACTCTAAGAAGTTGGTGTAGCGAAATCCTTTCAACATTTTTTGTGAATAAACTATAAATCCTTTTGTTTCGGTGCAAATTGTGACATGTTCATGTATTTTTTCAAATTTTGCAATTGTTTGTCTAAAACCACCTTAGGGCAACAAAACAGAAATTATTACTTTGCAAGAAATAATTTTAATAACACAGATGAATTAACTCATTCTGCTGCAGAGAATAAGGGAAGTTGTTACAAAATATGCAAGTACACATCTGATCGCAGGTCAGTCTGTGATGTAAATACTTTGTAAAGGTGAAAGCTCTGAAACCAATGGTTCATTAAGTCTTTACTAACTGCCTTACTCATAAATATACCAAGGAGTTAAGACAAGATAACCAATAATATCATATATTTCAATTTCTAAAACCAAACTTTTAAACATTAGTGCACTGTTAAATAAACATATACAACCAACAGAAATGTTCAAATCAATTTAAAACATTTAGTTTACTTGACCCTGCTGTAAAACACTAAGTTATGAAACTGAATTAATACAGTTACTTTATGTTTCAACAATATAAGTAATTAGATTTTTTTTAAACAGCCGATTGGTTAGGATAAATTTTCTGTTGATAAATAATATTTTGAAAATGTTGTATTTGTTCTTACGTTGTACTTGTTGGCGATTTATTAATGAGCTGAATTATTGTGACGATACAGGTGTGTTCTTGACTGAAAGTTTTTAAAGGTAGATGGAAGAGGCTTTGCAGTGGAGGGCGGACAGGTAACAGTAAGATAAGTTCTTGTGATGAGAGGGGAGGGGCGGCCCGTTAGCAAGTCGTTAAATCAGGAACTGTCACTGAATCTACAGCTGAGGTGAAGAAGGGCTCAGGCAACCAGTGGGTCAAATCCAAGGCGCCACAAGAAAACACCTGAAAGAGAGAGGCAACGGGAAAATATTACTCAGAGTACCAAAACTGACAAAACACTCAGGTATCGAAGAGCTGGCAGACCGCTCCTCAAATACTGCTAAGTGAGGAGATTATTGATCACAGCTGCGCTGAATCCAGACAGGAACGTCCTCCATGAAGGAGCAGCCTCTTAACACCATCCAGTGGATGAAGAGAGAAGCAGCAGACAACAGAAAATCCACACAAGGACCAAAACATGTGCTGTATAAAGCATCTTGTTATTACTCCATTGTTAAGGCTGCACAGGGTTGTGACAAGAACTGGTAAATAAATTTTTTACTTTTTATATTTGGCTTTTCCTCCTTTCTGTGTTTTTCTGAAAGACAAACAGCAGGCAAAACTTGCATTCAAGATAAAAAAAAGTCACAAATTTCAAATGCAAGTCAAGTCAATACAACACTGCATTTCTGACCCAGAGGGAAATTTAATATTTTGTGTCATAGTATAAAATTCCACAAGGGGTCACTGAAGATAACTTTAGCCTTAAGACTTTTTGTGATCTATGGCCACTGCATTGAAGAAGCCTCTGACACTGATGTTAAATTACTGTATTGATGAGAAGAGGTGCATTTTTGTCCATGATGATTTTCATTCTTCTTTGCACAGTCAGATCGAGGCACAACTGGTCTCAGGTTAAAGAACTTTTCACTATATGCATCTACATGCACGTTATGCTTCTCTCCTTGCATGTTATTGTTCTGTGTAACCAGGATAGGAAACAAACTTCAGAGAAGTTGATGATAAGAAATAGTGAGGATAAGTTCATTTGTTCTATTTTTTATTTCAATTAACATTTCAAAGTTCATGTAGTCATTAAAATATGTTAGCATTGTTTAAAATAAGTTATGTGTACTTTGTGGGGGAATTGTCAGAGAACATGGTGTCCTACAGGAGTATGGTCAGTGAAGGTAGCACAGGTGTTTAAGGAGCAGAAAGAAAGAGAGAACAGTAAGCAAGAGCGAGAGAAGAGTGGAGCGAGAGAAGAGTGGAGCGAGAGAAGAGTGGAGCGAGAGAAGAGTGGAGCGAGAGAAGAGTGGAGCGAGAGAAGAGTGGAGCGAGAGAAGAGTGGAGCGAGAGAAGGGATAGCACAGGATAGTGATGGGCAGATGATGCCTCATTGGGTGTATGGCACATTTCCCAAATTGTGTCGATACTGTGTTGCTGTATCACTTAATGGCGACATCTGCTGGATTTAAAAAGTAATTGCAGGCAACTTCAATAAAGACTGGAAACAGACTGAACAAGGTTCATTCACACATTTTTATTTAGAAACATCAGCTGCATTAACATCTTTGGGCTAAAGAAATTGGCGTTTACCTTAGCCAATTGCCAAGAAAACAAAAAACAAAAAAACTGACTTATATATTTTTTAACTGTTTACAAATCAGCCGAGATGAATGCTGCAGTTTCTTCCTTCTGACGTATTTCTATCTTGAAAAATTGAAAGTACAATTAGATCATACATAAATTCATCTGGAGGTCCCGAATCAGACGATATTCCTCATGCAGAACTGCGCGCAGCGCCTGCAGGAAACTATCGGAGCGCAGCAGCGCCTGCAGCTGCACTCTGCGTACCTTGACATTTTCCTTTAAGTAAAGAAGGAAAATATAAATTCTGGAATTTTTAATATTTAACCCTATTTACTATTAACAAAATTGTGAAGAAAAAATAAATAAATTGTGCCAAAACATCTTATTCGTAGCGCACATCGCAACACCTGAACCTGGGAATCAACACCGTCCTCTTTCCGTGAACCACATGAGGAGGCTTCGCTTCCTTGTCTAGCATCGTCTGGAAAAAAAAAGTCCGCTGCTATTGGTTTAGGTTTGTGCTGATTTTTGCGCATTTGAGAGGTGCTTGTGCTCTTGCAGGTCAGGTGCAGTGATAGTTTTGTGTCGGACCTTTATTTTTTCCACATCTGCTGGTGTCAGCCAGCGGGTGACCCGTCAGCTGTTCGGTTCGCGAAACCACGAAAAAAGCGAATAAACCGGAGACCCGCCAGAACCGCGCAGACTGTCAGAAGCTCAGGCTGAACGTAGAACAACAGGAGGTTCAAACCCAACTCGTTCATTTTTAGCTTGCAGAAAAACGCAAAGCCGTGAAATAAACAAAACCAAACTGACCAATAAGACTTGGGCTTTGGGGTTCCCCACCACAACCCTCAGACTGACAGCTGGGTGTGTATAATATCTTTTGACATAAAAGATATTTTATTTTCCACAATTTTGCTAGATGGTTAGGCAATAAAACAATGACTCTTCTGTTTTATTTAAAGGAAAATTTCAAGGTACTCAGTACAGCTGCAGGTGTTACTGCAACAATCCATCAGTTTGCTTTTGTTTATTTCAGTCACTTGTGGCCAATTTAGAATCACAGAGAAAAACTCCAAAAGGGAATCAAAGTCCAAGGTCACGGCACCAATGTAACAGCTTCCCCTTATGCCCGTCCCGTCATACACACAGATGAGGCTAGTTGGTTGAATTTTCTGTAATAAATGGTCAACACAAATTAGTACAGTGAGCCACACTTCTGGTCCACCAGCTCTCCGCATACACAGTAGAGCGCTGAACAGACTGCCTCACAAACAATCATTACAATCTGGCTTAACAACATATTTTTCTAACAGATGATCGTATAGTGATATTTGATTATTAATACTTCTTTAAAATTAATTTAACACAATCTGGTCTATCTCCTATAAATAAAGAAAAACAAAAAATAGACATAGACAGCAGTCAATTTTAACTAATAAACTATTTAACAGTAACTTCTAACTGAAACTGTCAGGTTTGGTGTTTTTCTGTGTTTTATTCTGTTTCTGTGTCCTGAGTCTCCTCGTTGTCCTGTCTTCCTCTTGATTGTTCCCAGGTGTGTCTTGTTCCCTTGATTACCTTCAGTGTATTTAGTCCCTCCTGTGTCCTTTGTTCCTCGTCGGGTCATTGTCGTACTTTTGCCTTTGTCTGCCGTTGTGTGTTTTTTAGCCGCCTGTATGACCAGTTGCTACCGGCGTTGAGCCCTGGCTTCCGCTCAGCCGTGCTGCCTGGCCGCGGACTACGTCTTTGACTGTTTGTTGTTGTTATTGGACTATTTTTCATCATTAAATATTCACCATTCACCTACCTGGGTCTCCAGCGTCTGCCTCACCATCTCCACTTCACCACTTCATGACAGAAACAGGGAACAAAGAAACTGACAAGCTGGTAAATACAGCAAACCGACAACTCAACTGAAGAAAAACTGACAAACATAACTGACAAAATAAATTACTAATAAATAATATAACATAATTACCTGTAATAAATGGTCAACACAAATTAGCACAGTGAGCTCCACTACTGGTCCACCAGCTCTCTGCATACTGTAATAAAACTCCACGTCAGTCTTTGAGCACACCCACTATGACTGTTCAGAAAAGAACTGAATTTGGTGACTTACCACAGTAGACCGTTGAACAGACTGCGTGGAATTTACGGTTTAGCTTTCTATTTATAGGCAACCAGTAGGGGGCGCCAAAAACCATTCATCACATGGCAATTACAAAACATATTTTAGCAAGAATTTCATCTGTATCTATTACCCGTTACATATATATAATATATATATATATATATATATATATATATATATATATATATATATATATATATATATATACTTATAAAGACTTATAAAGACTTATAAAGACTGTATCAAACAAGTAGCCCTTCGTGTTGCTCTGCACCCTTGAAGTATCTCCCAGTCTCAAAAAGGTTGGTGACCCCTGAAATACAGGATGAGGTAATCACATGCTTTCTGAACAGTCATAGTGGGTGTGCTCAAAGACTGACGTGGAGTTTTATTACAGCATGCTTGAGAAATCATGTAAACTGTTCCACATACACAACAGTGGAGGTAAACAGTAAAGAGTATAAACAAGCGCAGAAACAGAGAGCTGGGGTTATTCGTCTTCAGCAAGTGGAACGAGCAACCGCGGGCCAAGAAAACCAACGAGGGAGCCTCGCACGGACCCAGAGGGAGGACAAGCTTACACTTTGCTGGGGTGAAGAACCACGTTGTTATGCCGAGAAATGCGTCCCCTGTCGCGGGAGCGCGCATCACTCTAAACTCTGGCATATTGATGAGAAAACTGGCTGAAAGATATTCTTTTGAAGATGTTCGTAACATCATCACGTTTATTAATCATATAAGCCCTAAAATTGTGGGTTTTATTTCGCAAATTAACTGAAATAAATACTGATTTTTTCTCTTTTATTGAGCCATATTTGTGGAACGTTTTTCAGTGTCTGATGAACATGTTCTCCGCAGCTGGTTTGAAATTACCAGATTTTCTTTTAACACCATAATAGCTTAAAGCTTTATAAAAGCGAGGCCCATTATGTAGAACATTTTATGTCACGCTTAGCTGTCTAGTGTATTAATCTAGGAGAGATGCATTTTCATTTCTGAGCCTGCTAATATTTGCATTCCCTGTCTGAAAAACGTTCGATAAATATGGCTCAATAAACGTGAAAAAAATCAGTATTTATTTCAATTAATTTGCGAAATAGGGTCGGATTTCAGCCAGTTTTCTCATCAATATGCGAGAGTTTAGAGTGATGCGCGCTCCGTGACAGGGGACGCAATTCTCTGCAGGCAACAACTCTTGCTCCTAATTCGACTGAGGCTCCACACTCAACCCAAAAGATCTCAAGAATTGCTGCAGCGGACTTGGGGACTGGACAAAGATCACAAAGATAACTACCAACTTTGCTTCGTTCCTGTTCGGAGGAGAATTCGCCACACCAAGACAAGATTCTGCCCAAGGACATTAACACTTCTGTTGCTGAGATCCCCTGTCATCTGGGTATGAGTTGCCTGCACCCCAAAAAGCCTTTTTAGTAAGTTGATGGCACAGTTAGGGAAAGTTGTTAGGAGAGATAACAAGTGCTCGTTACTCTTAGAGAGAGGGCTACTGTTAACAGGAGTGGTTATTGGAGTTATGCAGTTGCGAGGGCCACTCAACTGATTGCTTCTTAACTGAAAAGGGTCATAACTTCTGGATAATAGGTATTTAGAGCTAGACGAGTCTCTCTCGACACCAGCTTAGACAGATTGTTCCTCTCAGACCTTCTGCAGAAGGGTCCGGAAAGTTTCGGGAACTTTCCGGACCCGTTAGACGGAGAGCTGGTCAGTGGTCAGCCCAGAGGAGTTGTGAGGATTAGGGTGGGGCTGGCTCTATTGCGTAATAACAAACAGTTTGTTTGTTTGGTTTTTTCTTTACTTTTAGTACTTATTAATGAGTACTGAAAGTACTCATTAATAAGTACTTTTAGTACTTATTAATGACCCACCAGCACAATTGCAAATACTTGAGATTCTTTACCTGATCTTAAGGTTTTGATCAAGACAGTAGAAATGAGAGGCGTGTTAAATAAGTAGAGAAGACAGAAGTGATGTCGATTACTTAATATCACTCTCTTTAATTTTTTACAATTGAAAACAAATGTAAACAAGAAAGTGAGTTTCTCCATTTTTGAGGTATTGTAATTAATTCATAATTTCATATGATGAATTCTGAGAATCAATCATTTTTTGTGCTATGTGAACTTATTCTTTGTTCATGTGAATTTTGAAACCGACAGTCTAAAACATGAAGATGATCCTCGTTAAGGGTAAAAAATGCAAAGATGACAAAGTAGCTGTAAAGTAGCCATTTTCTTTCTGCTCTGGTAACTTGAGCTCAGGCATGCAAAAAACGACACGCACTACAAAGCCCTCTTTCTCATTTGCTTTTAAGATGGAGGAAACAAAAAAAGGGCAACAGAAAGAAACAGTAGAAAACTTTGTGTGAGATGGGTACCAGTCTTTTTACAGCCTTGAAACATTTTAACTGCAAAGAAATGAAACGAAAATTAAAAGTTTTTTGTAAAACAAAATTTGGTTGATTTTGAAAATGGCACAAAGATTTTTATTGTATCTTTAGCGTTAAGCTGTTTTAATAAATAATACTAATGCACATCATTTGTTTCTTTCAGATACCTTTATATCAAGATGTTTTGGTTTAGACATTTGCTCCTGCACCTCTGGTTTTTGGGTACTTTGGTTTTCTTCTTTTGAATTGTGTAACATTACATACATACTTAATTTGATGCAACTGATGAATTTTTACTTCAGTAATTTTGACTTACAACTATTTTTCTCTTGCAGGATGTCTTTACTTGGCAATACAAGCTTGGCGCGTTGACATGCCAAGAAATATCAAAGCACTGTTGAATTCCTGCCTCGTTATCCCTTGTAGCTTTGACTACAATTTGTATCCACCTACAAGAGCAGACAGAGTTGTTTGGTACCAGTATGTGAGCAGGGGATATCCTTTGGTTTATGACAGTTGGTACCCTAATGAAGTAATTAGCATGTATAGAGGAAGAACCTATGTATACACTTCCAAATATGAAAAATCATGCTCTCTAAAGATTGAACGTGTGAACTGGAACGACCACAGACAAAAACTTTATCCTTGGGTGGATCCAGAACATGTTGGGTCTAGCACATATGCATTCTATGACACAGCAGTAACAATTGAAGTAATTGGTATGTTTGTTTGTTTTGAGCTTTTTGCCTTGATAATCAGTGCATTAGTATGTTGTTGAAAAAGCTTTTAACTTTTTACATTTTCTTTGTAGCACAGCCAAAGCCACCACGAATTATAATCTTTGGAGAAAGAAAAGTTGGAAAATCTGTAACAGTGCAATGTTCTGCTGAACACACATGCTCCACCAGTCCACCAACTCTCAGCCTCAACATCGCAATGAAAGACAAAAGAGTTTCCAACACTCAGCTATCTGATGGCACTTCTAAAGCTATCTTAACAGGCACTTTAGTCTTAGAGAGAGACGTTCAAGTGATTGAGTGCACTGTCCAGCACAAAGGTGGTAAAACAGCAAGAACATCTGAAACCTTAACTGCAGACTGTGAGTGATAACTCCCAAGATCAAAATCAGCGTCGCCCTCGTGCTAAACTTAGGTTGTCTTTCTGGAAAAGCTTTAACCATCCTTTCGTTCTTGTGTTTTTAGGCTCCATTTTACCACTGAGCATTAGCTCTACTTCAGTTGAATATGTTGAAGGAGTTCCAAACCAAGTAACATGTGAAGCTTCTTATACTTGCTCCAGCAATGCACCAGTTCTCGAATGGAACTACTCTAACATGCCAGTTACCAGAGATATTAAAACTTTGGGGACTTTGCAGAAAACTGTTTCCACACTGACATTTACAGCATCAGCTAAAGACAATGGAAATGATCTGATATGTTCTGCAAACTTTCCTGGAGGAGAGACTCAGCAGAAGAGCCTCACCATACGGGTAAAACGTGAGTACCAATCACAGTTAACATTTTGTACCTTTTTATCAGGACTAGAATATATGAAACATTTGGTAATGTCTTTTGAGTTTATAACAAATGGAACTAAAAGATTTTCTTCAGTGATGAATGTCGCATCAACTGAATATTATTTTACATGGAGAGTTTTATGGTAAATAAAATTGACAAATACATGGCTGCCTCATGTTCTGCTGTTAACTTATGTAAATTGTTCCATTGAAAAAAGTATCTTTATAGATACAGTTGATAAAATGTGTCTATCCAGGCAAATCTGGTTTGCTATAAGTGAAATAATCTGCCAATGGAACATGTACTTCTTCCCCAATTCTAAGGAATTATTTACTTAATGCCACTTCTTTTATCTTGAAAGGTTACTTGTAAGTTAATTTTCTCTTATTTCAGGTTTATTAAGATACTAGAAGTAAAAACTAGACCAAAATTATTTGGTAGGATTTTGTGTTTTTGCAGTTTAGGCATTTGAACCCTGTAAGTCTCGATTTAGGAGTTAATGTAACTATTTTTCCCACCAAGACAACAAATAATACTATTGCAGACACAACATTCAAATGTATAAATCTATGGTCTGTCCAGGGCAAATCAGTTAAAATTAGGCTTAAACTAATCTGGCCAATCAAAATCGTTTTGTTTTTATGTGTTTTACAGGAAACATGCTCAATCTGGGCTGGTCTTTCACTACTCCAGGAAGCGTAACAGGAATGAAAGGATCATGTATCATCATTCCTTGCAAGTTTTCCTACAGCAAAGCCCAACCGAGTGGCCTCCAAGTTGTCTGGTACTTGTACCAAAATAATGGACGCGCAGACGTATTCAACCAAAGACAATCAAATATTTTAAGCAGATATAATGGGATAACACATTTGATTGGCTCTGTGTCAGACCGCAATTGTAGTCTTAAAATAGACCGGCTGGATATGTCTCACAATGAGGATAAACTCTATCCATGGGTTGATATCAACCCAATTACCTCCTACCACTCACAGGGACATTCATTTTTGGATAGAAGCACCAAAATTATGGTTTCAGGTAAGAACACACACACACACACACACACACACACACCCCACACACACACATAATAAATTTCCCTTCTCACCCACCGCGGGTGGTTCTTATCCTCTGAGCTCGGGTCCTCTACCAGAGGCCTGGGAGCTTGAGGGTTCTGCGCAGTATCTTGGCTGTGCCAAGGACTGCACATTTCTGAACTGAGATGTCTGATGTTGTTCCTGGGATCTGTTGTAGCCACTGCTCCAGTTTGGGGGTTACTGCCCCGAGGGCCCCGAGGGCCCCGATGACCACAGGCACCACTGTGGTCTTCACCTTCCAGGCCCTCTCCAGTTCTTCCCTGAGGCCCTGGTATTTCTCCAGTTTCTCGTGCTCCTTTTTCCTGATGTTGCAATCACTTGGTATTGCTACATCTACCACAACGGCTTTCCTCTGTTGTTTATCCACTACGACAATGTCTGGTTGGTTCGCCATTACCATTTTGTCTGTCTGGATCTGGAAGTCCCACAGGATCTTAGCTCTGGCGTTCTCCACCACCTTTGGGGGTGTTTCCCACTTTGATCTCGGGGTTTCCAGTCCATATTCTGCACAGATGTTTCTGTACACAATGCCTGCCACTTGGTTATGTCGCTCCATGTACGCTTTCCCTGCCAGTATCTTGCACCCTGCTGTGATGTGCTGGACTGTCTCAGGGGCCTCCTTGCACAACCTACACCTTGGGTCTTGTCTGGTGTGGTAGATCTGGGCCTCTATTGCTCTGGTGTTTAGGGCCTGTTCCTGGGCGGTCAGGATGAGGGCCTCTGTGCTGTCCTTGAGTCCAGCTTTTTCCAGCCATTGGTAGGATTTACTGATATCAGCCACTTGGGTTATTTGCTGGTGGTACATCCCATGTAGGGGCTTGTCCTCCCATGATGGTATCTCTGGCACCTCAACCTCCGTTCCCTGTTGTCTGAGACATTCACTGAGCACATTGTCTGTTGAGGCTTTGTCCCTGATGTATTTATGGATCTTAGTTGTTTCGTCCTGGACAATGGTTCTCACACTCACTAGTCCTCTGCCTCCTTCCTTGCGGGGGCAGAGGAACAAAGAAGGATTCTATAACAAAAACAAAGAAGGATTATATATATATATATATATATATATATATAATATATATATATATATATATATATATATATATATATATATATATATATATAAATCTTTATATATATATAAAATCCTTCTTTGTTCGTCTCAGGTCCAGTTGGTTGACTTCACAACAGACACACTCATTTCTTTTATTTACCAACTCTCAAGAGCAGCATAACAACTTAATGCACAAAATCATGTCTGGGAAAACAACTTCTTGATTAAGCAAAATAAATCTGACAAATATTCATATCTTGTGCAGTTATTCCCATTGCAGCAAGAAACTTGTTTCTGTCTGTCTAGTTAAAGTTGTTTAGGTTAAAATAATGTATGTTAAACTTTTCCTTTCACTCTTTCACCAGTATTTTAAATATCTACATTTTAGTTGGAATCATCGTAGATTAACATATTTCTATTTTTATCTTTATAGACCATGCACAAGAACCCCAAATGAGCATCATTGATGTTCCTAAGGTGGGAGCTCAAAGCAGGGTTACCTGTAAAGTGAAATATACATGTTCTTCTGCTCCTCCTGCCCTGTCTCTGAATGGCATTCCTGGAACAGACCGCACCATTGACTCCTTGTTGTCAGACGGCATTTGGGAAAGAACAATAGAACGAACTTGGAATGTAGAAGAAGACCACAAGAAGGTGGAGTGCACTGTGAGATATCCTGGTGGACAAAGTGCCAAAAGTGAGCTCCTCCTGCATGTTGAATGTGAGTATAAATATACATGTTGTGGTTTAAATTGATGAGATTTTTAAGTTTTCTTCACAAGTAAAGTTTAATTTTTTGCTTAGGCCCATTTGAAACAATCAAAATGGTTGAACCTCCAGGAGAGCTAATAGAAGGAGTGGCAAAGAGTGTAATTTGTTCTGTGTCCTACAAATGCAAGACAAATACACCAACAATTGAGTGGAACTTTTCAGACATGCTGCATTTACAAAAGCTCAAAAAAATATCCAGTAATACGTATACCACTGAGTCCAATCTTACGTTTATTGGTTCCCTTGAAGACAATGGAAAACCTTTGACCTGCATTGCACATTTTCTGACTGGAGAAACATCAAACTCCTCACTTCTTCAGATAAAAAGTGAGTTTTTACATCTAACACACATTGTTTACCACTATAGTTCAAATTAAAATTAGAACTCAGAATTGAAGTTAAAATTTTCAGTGTTTAAATCTGCAGAGCAATACTTGAGACACCAGACGCCTTGGAAGATTTACAGTTTCAAAATGTTGGCCAGTAAACAATGACTGCTTTCTTTAATCCAGTTAAACTTATAGCTTTCACTTGGGTTTATTGCTTAGCTACTAATCAAAAATAAATTCATTTATTTATTCATTTTTACAGAATATGTACCGGTTGAAGAAGAACTGAACGAGAAAGATAGTGAGCTCACCTTTCTTTTTCCTTACACCAGACAACTTGCATAAGACACTGATTTCCTGCTTATTTTTCTCTCTTTTTGTGCATTATTTCAGATTTAAGGCTATCAGTTTTGTGTATCTGTATAATTTTCATGTCTTTTGTATTAAATGTCCTGTATTTTCTGACAGCACCTTTCTAAGTTTAACTGGTCCTCTCGCCCCCCCAACAGCTTTCCGCGTCCTGGCTGCTGACGTCCCTCGCAGATTCAATGCTTGACTCGGTCCTGTGTGGTCATCCCCTGCAGTTTCCAGGATGACGAGGATCAGCCCCTGACTCGTGGCATCTGGTACAAAAAAACTGGGGGTCTGGTGTACCACAATGCCCGCAGTAATGTTTTGGACCAGTTCAAGGACCGGACCAAAATTCTGGGAAACCTGGATGAAGGAGACTGCTCTTTGGAGATTGACGACATAAAACCCTTTGACAATGGCCCTTTCTGTTTCTATGGAGAGAAAGGAACAAACAAATACAGATTTAACAACAGCTGCGTTTTATCGTCATGAAAGGTCAAGAATCCTTACTAATGTTTTACATCATTCGCATGCTGTTTGTGATACATTTTCTTCCAATCTGAGCAATAGCAAACGTCTTTGTCTTTAATCCTCAGCTTCTCCAGAGAAACCAGTGATGAGTTTAGTTCCAGCTCAAGTGAATGCTGGTTCAACTGTAAATGTCTCCTGTTCTGTCAGTCACTCATGCTCATCACATCCTCCAAAGTTTTCATGGAGTGTCCCTTATGTCAACAACGAGGTTTCAGACACTGAGATGTCACGAGGTGTCTGGAAGACGACGTCCACCATCACGTTTGTGGTTGCTGGAGGAGATGGACAGAGAAACCTGAACTGTACCGCCATCTTCTGGCGTGGAAAGAATGAAACCAGGACTTTCAAATTAATTGTAGAGGGTTAGACTCAACAAATCATTTTTCTTATCAAAGCATTGGACACAGGAAACTGAGAGATTTTCTCATTATGATTATTTTATATCTTCATCTCCAGGAACTATGGCGTACCAGATACAGAAAGCTATCCCTGTGGTGATTCCTGTTGTCATCTTAGTGCTGATCCTCTTTGCTGTGCTGCTTGGCATATTCTTCTACAGGAAAAGGTGAGTAAACCTCTCAAAATCGACTAATATATGCTTTTGCGTGTATTGTGCTGATGTTTTTTTACCTTCAAAAATGAGGCCAATTAAAGAAAATGAAGCTGACCTAAAGAAATTACAATTTTCTCATCACCAGAAAGCACACCGATGGCCCTCTGACGCCTCCGCCAAGACCAGAGAAAAGGCAAGAATTTTACCTCCAAGAACTTTTAAGTGCTGTGCTAATTTAGCACTTTTGCTCTCTGTTTTGATATGAGTTGTTAGGGGTAATGTAAGGTAAGGTAAGGTAAGGTAAGGTAAGGTAAGGTAAGGTAAGGTAAGGTAAGGTAAGGTAAGGTAAGGTAAGGTAAGGTAAGGTAAGGTAAGGTAAGGTGAACTAAGGTAAGGTAAGGTAAGGTAAGGTAAGGTAAGGTAAGGTAAGGTAAGGTAAGGTAAGGTAAGGTAAGGTAAGGTAAAGTAAGTAAGGTAAGGTAAGGTAAGGTAAGGTAAGGTAAGGTAAGGTAAGGTAAGGTAAGGTAAGGTAAGGTAAGGTAAGGTAAGGTAAGGTAAGGTGAACTAAGGTAAGGTAAGGTAAGGTAAGGTAAAGTAAGGTAAGGTAAGGTAAGGTAAGGTAAGGTAAGGTAAGGTAAGGTAAGGTAAGGTAAGGTAAGGTAAGGTAAGGTAAGGTAAGGTAAGGTAAGGTAAGGTAAGGTAAGGGTTGTTTTAAATCCAATTTGCTGTTCATGGACAAAATTAAGAGAGATGTCTTGCCTCTCAATCTAAACATCTTGATTCAAATATTATAGATAATAATGAGTGTTCATTAAATATTATTTGCTAATACTAATGAACAACAATGATCTTACATGCTTGGAATTAGAAATTTATACAGCTCTACTTTACACTCATATTCACTCTCAAATGTAACACTGTGTCACTGATAAATGGATGTTTACATCCTTGTTCTTCCACAGGGATGTAAACATCCCCCATACACAAAAGATCTCTTTGGGGTAGATTAACCAGGTGAATTGAATTAAACGTTTTACTCAGTTTCTTTTTGTTTTTGCACAAGCAAATAGTAAATCCAAAACCATTTTAATACCTATAGGACTTACTTTGAGGGAGATAGACAGAAACCTCCAAGGCCAGAAAAAAGGTGCACAACCAAAAAGCTTTTTTGAAACTGCAGTTGATCACATACTAAAAATTAACAAATGTTTCTGTGCAGGAATTCAGTTTGGAGCAGGTTTTCTCGGTAAGATCAACAAAAAGCAAATTCTGCCCTTTTAATCCTCAGTTCTGATGTTTGCAACACTTATTTTCAGACAATCAGAGGACGGTCAAGTCGGCTGGCAGATCACCAGATAGGAACATTTTCTGTTGTTAAATCTCCTCATTGTCAATGTTAAAGTTGCTACTACTTGAATGTTTCTTTTACAGAAACTCTTTCTGGAATAGATTTTCAAGGTAATAATTTCATGTTTATTACAAACAAGAATATCAGACATTAAGTGATTAAAAAATTAAAAGTAGACTAAGAACAATGTGTATAATTGTTGCAGACCCCCAAACAGCTCGACTGACCTCAGAGTCAGTTATTTGTAAGTTTTCAGCCGTGGTTTCAAAAATATTTTATAATGAGCAGAAATGCTGAAAATGTGATATTGTGAAATATGTTTTTGCTCCTAGAAATAATGCAGAAGTGTTCGTCTGTGAGAAAAAGTCAACAAGCAGTGTTATCCATCACCAAAGAAGTGAGGAGAAAACTCTATATTTCAGGCTTCAAAAGACTGCTGCGATTATTGTGGTTCTTTATTAATTATCTTGTTAATTAACCGGCTGTGGGTTTTGTTTTTCTTTCTTTCTTTCATGGAAACTTGTTCTGCTTGGTCAGGTTTCCATGAAAGAATTTTGAATTTATATTTAGAATCCACAAAGCTTTTCCACACGCAACAACTTTTCCAACCTCTTCTTATAATGTCCTTTAAGCTTAGAATAGAAAAGAATAGAATAGAATTCAACTTTATTGTCATTGCACTGTCACATGTACAAAGCAACAAAATGTAGTTTGCATCTATCCAGAAGTGCTATACAGGATATAAATATTTATAAACAGTTGTACAAAGATATAAACAGAGAATAATATTGATGTGCTATAATAAAATGTTTTCTACAAATATAAACATAAATATGAGAGCTATGCACATATTATACAAATTACACAGATTATATGGAATATACAGGAATATGAAGAATGGATAGTGTATATATATTATATAATACAGGATAAATACTGGCAATTTAGATTTACAGATTATATGAAGATTGTATACAGATCATGTATGTGAGGGAAACAGTCCGGGGATGGGGGGTACAGTCCTTATAGTTTGTGTCAGGAGGCGTTCAGGAGCGTGACAGCTGTGGGAAAGAAGCTGTTCCGGTGCCTGGTGGTTCTGGTCCGTAGGCTTCTGTAACGCCTCCCAGAGGGCAGGAGAGAGAAGAGCATGTGTGCAGGGTGAGTGAAGTCCTTGGTGATTTTCCCGGCCCTTTTCAGACACCGCTTCCTGTAGATGTCATTGATGGCAGGGAGCGATGCCCCGGCGATGTGCTGGTGTAACAGAGAGCAAAGTGTGTATAATATGTCTGTGAATTTTGCCCAAAATAATGAAGGTTGTGTTTGTTTTTGATGAGATTTTTGAGTAACGCCATGTTTTGGAGCCACCTAGTGGTATGATCACGCACTGCATGCGACGGGTCCTTCAGGCGCTCTCGCGGTTTCCCCCACCAGAATTCTGCGGAGTGCTGGTGGA